CCGAGGCTCCTTCAAAGGGAGGCAGTAATGCCTGTCGCTTGGGACTTGCACTCTTAGAACCCAGCAGTCCTCTCCGAGGAAGAGCAGGCCTTATGGGGGGATGGCAAGGAGTTCCAGCTGACAGCCCTAGGAGAGGTCCCAGCAGGCATCGACTGCCAGGCAAGTAAGTGAGCAAGGAAGCTCTGAAGATGACAGTCACTGTCTGACTCCAGCTGTTGGGAAGATCCTGAAAGAGAGCCACCTTGCTGAGCCCAGTCAAGCCCTCAAACTGTATAATGATATGATTGGGATTGTCTTGTGCCACTGAGTTTTGGGGTACTTCATTATGCATCAGCAGGTAACTGGAGCCCATGGTCGCCCCTCCCTTGCCAGATGGTGGTTTAGGAATGGGCATGTGACCCAGTTTGGGCCAACAAGACGTGGTAGAGTCTTCTGGGAAAGCCGTCTTCTGGGAAGGTGTTCCTGAGAAGGCCAAGAAGAGACAGCCCTTCTCTTTCTTCTGATGCATTGCATCTTGATGTGACATTTGAAATGGCTGCTGCCCTCTTGCTACCAACCTGGGGACAAAGTCAACCCCAAGGACAGCATCACTGAGAGATGGACAGAACTCGGGTCCTTGAGGGCACTGCCGAGCTACTGCATTAACGAGTCCCTGGACCCACACCTTCTCCTGGCCGTCCCGATGTGGATGAAGGTCATACTTACCAACTAAAGCAGTTTGAGTCACATTGTTACTTGCTGGTGGAAGTGCCCTGTCTGTTGCAGTGTGTAAGCCAGAAGCCAACCTCCACCAGCTCTGAAAAGGGAGGATCTCAAGGCCAAGGTCAATGGCAATGGAGCGTCAGCTGTTCCTCCAAAACTGCTCCTCCTGCTGGTGAGGAGAGAACTGGTGGGAAGTCCCTCCTAAGCCAACAGCAGGTTGAGTGATTAGGGAGGACAGGGTTGATGCCAGGACAGGTGAGCTAAGCTTGGGCCGGGGAGGTGGGCCCTCTGAGCCAGCTCTCGGCCTCGAGGCGGTGTCTTCTTCACCAGGAGCCATCAGAACCCCATGTAAGTGCTCATGTAGGCTCATTCCTTCTCAGGAAGGGAAGCCTGAGGAGGCTGCCCTTTTTGTGGATGGAGAAACCGGGGTTGGAGTGTGCCATGGGCTTGCCCGGAGAGACTGGTGGCTCTGAAGTCCTTCCTCTTGCCTGAGGGAAGGCTGGGCTGGGACTCAGCAAAGGAAGCTGCAGATCATATCCTGGAACCCTCAGCCCACCTGGGTGACCGGCCAGGGCCTTACCTGGTGATCTGAGGACGAGGCTAAGCCTTTCACATGCATTCCAGGGTGAGCTTTTCCAGGGAAAACATCACTTCCCTCCTCTAAGTTGCCTCCCGTATGGAAACTTCCATCTCCCAACAGACACAGTCACATCTTGGGTACCTTTCAGCTGGGAAGCAATCTTTCTGCCCTACATTCACTGAGCATGAAAGTGATGCCTCTTGACCTTGAATCTGCTCATGAGCCTCTGGCATTGGCTGGATTAGGGCCTCACTCCTCATAATGAGGTCAGGGGAGCAGACACTGGCTGGAGAAGCCCCTTCCCCCTCCCCTCAGCTCAGAGGAAGGAACAGGACCCCTCCCACTGCTCTGGGGGCCTGCCCTTTGCAGTCTTGTTCTTTCTTGGAGTCCCCCAAGTATCTGGTCTTTTATTTAAATTCCAAATTCTTTGGGTTGTTGTTCAGTGCTCCAGGAAGGAGGCAGGGGATGGGGCGGGGGGGGGGGGGGTCAGTCTATCACTTGAGATTTGCCTGTAAAGCTAATAGCCTTTGGATTGGGAGACAGAGCCTGAGGACAGAGGCTGGAGATGATTTTATCCAACCTCTTCATTAAACCAATGAAAAAGTTAAGCCCCCAGTTCCCAGAGGGGCTACAACCTGGCAATGGGGCACCACCCTCTACCCAACAGGGAGCGTCAAGCCTGCGGTGGCGGCCGCTGAGTGTCACCGGCAAGGCAGAGCGCACGCTTGCGGCCCAGGCTGGGTCCCGGCCTGGCAGGGCCCGAGCACGCGTGGCTGTGCTGACTCCCCACACCCCCACACTCCACACTGGCCCTTCGTTCAGCAGAATCCACTTGTTTACTCACTTCCACCTGCTCAGGATGTGGAGTGTCTGTGTTCCAGAGGCTAATTAACTTCCTAAGGGTCGTATTAACCTATGAGAGTGTGTTCACTGAGCGTGGCATAAAAGTCAGGACTGGGAGAACTGCAAACAGGCTCTGTATCCTCACTGAGCAGATGGCCTCAACTAGGGGGGCAGCCTGGGAAGGCGCAGAGCCTGGGTGTGCTGACTCCCTACACCCCCAAACCTACACCATCCCTGCACTTCTTAAGGTGGAATGCCATTTCACTTGCTTCACTCTGCCCTTTTTCTACTTGTGATGGTTAATTATATGTGTCAATGTGGCTGGCCACGGTATTTGGTCAAATATTATTCTAGCTGTTTCTGTGCATTTTTAAAAAAATTTTTGGAAATTACCATTTAAATCAGTGGACTTTGAGAAAAGCAGATTGCTCTCCATATATGGGTGGGCCTCACCCAATCAGTTGAAGGTCTGACTAGAACAGACTGACCTCCCCTGAGCAAAAAGGAAATCTGCCAACAGATGGCCTTCAGACTTGAACTGGAGCTCTTCCCTGAGTCTCCAGTCTGCTGCTGTCCCCCATCAGGTTTTGAACTTGCCAACCCTGCATCACCAGGCAAGCCAATTCCTGAAAATAAACCTCTCTCTATACACACATCCTGTTGGTTAGCCCTAACACATGAGTTACCCAAACACTAAGGAGGGAGGCTCTCCCTACTGTTCCTCTGGATCATCACCAGGTGAGTTTGCCTGAGACTCCTCCCCTCAACTCTGCGCACAGCCCTGGTGGCAGCACCTCATGGTGCTGGGGGCTGAGGCATCTCTGACTCACCTGAGGCAGGAAGGAGGGCAGTAAGTCCCGGGTGGGAGGGGACCAATGTCCCATGGCTGGTAACCCCAAGTGGTTTTATTCCAAAATTCCTCAGATTTTGGTATATGAGTTTCTCTCTCCCAGTTTTTTTGGGGGGAGGGCACGGGGGGAAGCCTCATTAATGTATTTTTTTAAGTATTCAAGGAAACAAAAGATCAGAAAGTGCATTGGGGAAGGGGCAGTAATTCATGATTTCTGAGTTGACTTTATATACTTTAATGTTTGATTAAAATCTTTTGATTGTGGAGAGGTGGCAAACAGGGTCCAGTTCTGAAATTAATTTCCAGATGGAAAGGAAACTGTGATAGTTGCGCAGCTATTGATACGTTCACCCATGTCCCCTGGGGGAGGCCAATGACCAGCCCTGTTCCTATGGTAAGTGTGAATTGCACATTCCTGGGGAAGGGCTGCTTGATTCGGCAGCTCAGCACCCAGGTCAGTGAAGGTGCACCCTAATGATGTCACAGCCAACATTCTGCTGGTGTCAGGGAGTGGCTTCTACTTTTCCCACGGGCATGAAGGCAAGCCTGGCACAGTGACAGAGCAAGGGTGCTTTACGGAGAGAAAAGCGCATCCTATGAGCTAATTCCATTGACAAAAATTGTAGTAGAGCATATTTACACCCCTGTCCAGTCTGGAAAAGCTACCTAGTGGTCTCCAAGCACACTCACCGATTCCTTTGCTGCAGGGAGAGTGCAGTATCCAGATTATTCTGCAAACGGTAACCGAAGACTACGACAGTCATCGTAGGTGCCAATGGCGGGAGAGCTGGGGCTTTATGGTTGCGGCTGGTTTATAGGCAGTAGTTGAAAAGTCACAGATGAGGGCAATCTGGAGCTTTCTACATGAAGCCGAATCATTAGATTTGGGGCTGGTGTCCTTAGCGAGAGGGATTTGGATGCCAGGGACACGCATGCGCGCAGAGAAAAGACCATGTGAGGACATGGTCAAGAAGGCGGCCATCAGCAAGCCAAGGAGGGGCCTCTGAAGAAACTCAGTCTCCTGACACCTTGATCTTGGACTCTTGGCTGCCGCAGCTGCGAGAAATAAATGTCTGTTGTTGAAGCCACCCAGTCTGTGGCATTCTATTATGGAAGCCAAGCAAAAAAACAAAAACAAAACAAAACAAAAAACAAACCCACAAAACACTGTTCTTCGGAAGGCTGCGCACGCCACACGTGCCTTTTTCTGTACAACTTCCCAGAGCCCACAAGTGGCCCACTGTGGCTTTGTGCACCCAGAACCGAATGCTATCTTAAAGAGAAAGAGAGAAAAGCAGGCATAGCAAAAATACAGCAGAGAGCCTGTCATTGTTCTGCTAGTCAGAACCTCCAGTCCAAAGCCGCACGAGCTGAGACCCCTGGAGAACAGAGGGGGTCACATCCTGTAGAGGTCTTGTCAGTTTTCCACCCTGTGGACTTGACAGAAAGTGCATCACACATCCCAGTGCAGGTTTCCTACTAGGAAAATGGGCATCGGGCTGCCTCGCCTTCTGGGGACATCTACTTGCCTGCCTATGTGCCATACCCAGGAAGCAGATATAGCCCTACGCTGGGATTGCATTGGCAACCCCTCCCCCCGGGGTTCATGGGCACCCTCAGGAGAGCAGCCGGGTCGGTCCCAGTCTGGCTTGTGTAGGCTCCAAGGATATCAGATGTTGGCAAGTCCAGCTCCGAATCCCAGGCAGCCTCTTTGAAAGCTGCCTTCTGCTTACGTGGTATAGACATCTGTCTACATGTTTAGATTTCAGGGCCTTGGACCGGAAATTATGGCCCATATGAGCAGGGACAATATCACCAAAGCCTGAAATAGTGCCTGGGGCTATGAACTCAGACCAGCAAAATTCCAAAAGTCTCATTATCAGAGTCACTTCTCTGGGTTAAGGCATGAAAGACCCCGGTTAAATGTTACGGAGGGGCCATACGTATTAAGACATCATCAGCCATTAACACCGCTGTGCGACTTCATTAGAGTGTTCTCAGAGGCCCCCCTCAGTCCTTCAGGGGCCAAGGCCAGGCGGCTGAGTTCTGGTGAAGGAGAGAGACTCACAGTCTGAAGGGCTGAGGGGGAGGAGGAGAGCACGGGCAGGTGTGTGTTGCATGGAGGGATGTGGGTGTCAAAAAGAGTGAAAGATTTCACCAGGAAGAGTGCTGGACAACTCTGAACCAGCCAGACCTCTGTACCAGAGTCCCCTTTTAGTCTGCGGTCCAGATCAGGAAAGTCAAGGCCAGGCTGTCAAGGTTGGCAAGTACACAGGTCCCGCTGGGTATGTGTAAGGAGCTTGGCATCTCAGAGCTGGCCTTGGCGTGAGCCATGATGTTGGGTGTGCAGGGGCCAATACACAGCTGCGACGCCCCCCTGCTCCAGGAAAGTGGGGAGTGGCTGGAGTGACTGGCACTCAAAGCGGGGGGTGCTGCACCCATGCCCTCAGCCAATCTGCCGGCCCACTGGCTCCAGACTCCTGACACCACCGTGGGGCAGTTAGAGATACTGGGGGAGGGAAAGCGGGGAGCAGGGAAGCAACATGGGTCAAGTGACAACAGCTAAGCTTGGGGGAGGCCGGCCTGTCAACCACAGGCCTGGGGCTCACAGGCCAGCAGGGGAGCTTGGGAGAAGCTGGCTGGCTGTCCACAGTCCCAGGAGGCAGGCAGTGAGGCTCAGCAGGGGGAAGATGACATCTGGTCATAGTCAGGGCACTTTAGCAAGGCTGGGTAGTTGCTGTTCATCTGCAGGGAGGCATCGCTGGAGATGTCGGAGGGGCTGCGGCCCCGGACCCAGGCGTCTGGGTGGAGGAACTGGCCCGAGTAATCGGAGCAGTTGCTCAGACGCGGGCGGTAGAAGCCGGGGTGAGGCCTGTACATGTCCTCGGCGGTGTACCTCTTCATGAACAGGTACACGGACATCACCCCCGCACTCTGGAGAGGAGAAAGCAGAGGAGGGCTCAGTGCTGGGGCCTGGCCTTGTTCCCGGCAGGGTCTGTGTGGGACGCAGTGATGAGAGCTGCTGGGTGTGGGGGGATGTGTGGATGTGGGGCAGGAGCAGGGCCCTGGGGCATCCTGGATGGAGCAGACATGAGAAGGTGAACCTTGACGCATTCTGGGCCCCCCACCCAGCCTGTTGGAAGGGTTACCTCTGTTAAAAGGAAGGAGATGGCGGCGAAGGCAAACGACCACCCGTACTTGTAGCTGAAATAGGTCTCTGCGTCCTTGGTCCTGTTGAGCATCTCATCGTTGATGCTGGAGATGTAGAGCACCAGGCCCACCACGAGAGAGAGGCCTGGGGGAGGGCAGGGGGCTCAGAGAGGAGGCCCGGAGTTTGCTGATGGGGCACCCGCCTCCCCTTGGGGTGCAAGAAGAGGGCAGGGGACAATGCACTCGTTTTGGAATTCAAGGAGGGCAGGAGCCCGTCTCCTAAAGACGCAGTTTAGACTATTACCTTCTGGAAAGCAGACATGTGCAGGTAAGAAAACTCCCTGTCTCTATTTCATTTATTTATTTTGGGGTGGTGAACACACAATACTACATACAGATGATGTATTATAGAATTGTACCCCTGATACCTATACAATTTCATTAACCAATGTCACCCCAATAAAGTCAACTTAAAAAAAACCCTTCCTGTCCAGCCACCTCCTGAGCCATGGTAAGCCGATGGTTCTCCCCTCACCTGCTCTCTAGCGTCACCTGTCAGACGTAGATGCCTGACCCCAACCCCTGGACATTCTGAGTCACCTGTGTGCTGGGGCCCTGGTACTATGTCACCTTAATAGCTCCCGAGGTTACACTAATGTGAATGATGGGTGAGAACCACTGAGCTAGCAAGTGGATTTTGCTAAAATGAGGAATAAAACCCACTCCGCTGACGGAGGCAGCCAGGCCTCCGGTCCGCCTCCTGCCGTAGGTGGTACCATCACCATGGAGACCAAGTGGCTCCAGGTTCCTGCAGTCCCCTGAGCACTGGGTGTGGCCTGTTGAGATCATCAGGCAGAGAGGTAAGGGGAGTTTGTCCAGATTCTGGTAGCCATTCAATGCAGGGGAGGGGGGCACCCAGGGGGCCGTGGGGCCCAGACTCCTGCTGTCATTGTGCAAATAAATGACAGCCTCAGGCACCGGACCCGTCAATTAGTGACTGTAATTGAATCAGGACATAATTAATTACTCTGCTTTGAGCTGTTCAGATTTGATTCCATTCACGTGATTAAACTAGGGCATCTTGAAGGATGAACGTTCAAGGAAAATCAATGTGATTCAAGACTCCCCTGGCCCTTAACTCACGTTTGCATCATTGCTGGTCCAGTGGGCCCGTCTACTGTTCTCATTAAAACAACTTCATGTGACCCAGTTCAGTCTGAGATTTCTGATCCTGGACTGCTGAAAAATCTCAGCTGCTTCAAAGCTCCTGTACAGCCTTGACTACTGTCAGGTTCACAGAAGGGTAAGGAGCTCAACCCTGGGTCCCTACCTCTTGGACTGGGTGGAAATAGCACCATGCAGAGGGAGGGCTGAGGACATTGCTGGCGCTTGGGTCACTCACTCAGCTGTTCTGGTGCCAGCCAGACCCACAGCCACAGCCAGGACTTCCCAGAGCACAGCTGTTCAGGAGTCAAAAGTCCAGGGCACATGAAAACAACAAACTTACCTGAGAGGATGAAAAAGATGCCAGAGACAAAAGCCAGTATTGTCCTGTGGGGACGGATGTGTCCGATGTTGCTCAGGATAAACCCAATGAACATGAAGAAGAGACTGACCAGAGGAAACGGTGTGGCCGAGCGAATCATTTCTAATTGAGGGGACAGAAGGGCGCTGTCAGTCTCCACTGGCCTTACCCTCCTGAGTCCGGTGTTCCTGGTGGTATTGGCCAGCTGGTCTCCAAAGCCACACTGTGCATGGGCTCCCCAGGCTCTGTCCCCTCCTTAGGTGGCCTGGGACTTCCTAGTGCTGCCAGAGCCTCTGTCTCCTAGCCCTTAGCCTGTAGAGTCTATGCTAACTCAGGGTGATGAGTGTCAGAATTGCACTGAAAGTTCACTTTAGAGGTCAGAACCAGCTCTGGTGAACCCAAGGCCATGGTCAGTCTTGCTGGGGCCAGAGGGCTTGATTCAGTTCCCTGAGTACTGGGGTCTGAATGTTTGTGTCCTCCTGTCCCTTTCCCCACCCACGCCGAATCCATACGTTGACCCCTAACCCCCAGTGTGATAGTATCAGGAAGTGGGGCCTTTAGGAGGTACTTAGGTCACGAGGGTGGAGCCCTCCCACGTGGGATTAGTGCCCTTATAAATGAGACCCCATGGAGCTCCCTCACCCCTTCCACCTCATGGGATATAGCAAGAGGGCACCTGCTATGAATTGGAAGAGGGTCCTCCCCAGGAGGTGACCATGCTAGAGCCTTGATCTTGGACTCCTAGTCTCCAGAACTGAGAGAAATACATTTCTGCTGTTTATGAGCTACCTGGTCTGTGGTATTTTTTTAGAGCAGACCAAACAGAATAAGATGCTGGGTATGGACGCTCTCTCACTTGCCTGGGTCCCAAGCCTGGGACATTCCAGCAACCTATCACCACCACAGGATAAAAAATGGACAGAGAAAGTTCTGGGGAGCTCAGGCCAGCACAACCAGCTGAGTCTAAGGACATCAGCGCTTGAGAAACCAGCCGGCCACCCTGACTCTTCCCTCTGCCCTACTCTGCTCTGCTGAGCCAGCGGCCCCGGTTGGAAAGTCTGGGGAACCTACTTAGAACATTGACCGTGGACTCAGACGTCAGCTGGGTGTTCATAGGCATCACATATTCTATGGTGAAGCAGCGTCCACGCTCCTCACCTACAAAAACAAGAGTCATTTACCCTTCCGGGTCCTTCTGGAAGGTGGATTTGAAATTATTCAAATGATATTTCTAAATGCTTCTAGGATCTTTGACCTGTGGTGTATTTGCACAAAGACTAGCTCCAAATCCGAGGGGGTCCTGTCCCCAGCTGGTGGCCCACAGCAGGGTGGAGCACAGCCTGACAGCACATCCTTCCTGGACCCAAGCTCTGAGAGGCACATGAGAAGTGGTCAGACGGCAGACTCAGGCTGTGTAACGCGATGGTGCCTGACTTGCTGCTTTGGCACAGACTCAGCCCACAGTGGGCTTAAGAGTCCTCACTGTGGGTGTCATGGAACAGAACTCCCAAAGCCTTGTCGACCACTTTGGAAGCCAGGAAGTCACCAGGGTGATTTCCAGCTCTGCTCGATGATGCCACATAGTCCTGGGCAGTGAGAGGTGAGGTCAAGTCAATATCGGACGCCATTCCCAAAACAGATACAGTCACCAGCAGGCCAAGCCTTGAGGTGGCCGTCCTCCCTGCCAAACACTGGTGGGCACCAGGTGGGCTCCAGGTGGGCACCAGGTGGGCACTGGAAATATCAGGGGGATCACTTTGTAAAGTATATGATTGTTGAACCACTATGCCCTACACCTGAAACGAGTACAAAATAGTATTGAATGTAAACTATAATTGAAAAATAAAATTAAAAAGAAAAGAAAAAAGAAAAGGTAAAGGAGCTTTGGTGACCAAAGGCTGAAGTTGGGTTCCCTGGCCTGTCTGAAAACAAGCAGGGAGCGGGGGTGGGGTGGGGGAATGCCCCCCCACCCCCCGTGAGACCGCCCAGGCGGGAGCTGGAAGCAAGGCCCAGCTTGGAGGCGACCGCGGGAGGGGTGGGGAAGCCGAGGCAGAGACAGGATGACCCCTGGAGAGGAAAGGAGGAAACTGCCCGACAGCCTCATTGGGGGTGGGGGGGCTGCTGCCCGCAGGCCAGCCCCAGAGCGGCAGATGAAGCAGTGGCTTCCTGAATTAGAAAAATTGTTAGAAAGGAAACAATGTCGAACATGAAAGAAATTGTGTGCTGTTGCTAGTTTCCCTTGCGTTCCAACTTTTTCCTTGCTGTGATTCCTTAAGACAAAGTTAAATACATGTATTATAGTAATCAACTGTGTTACTCACTAGGGTGATAGACAAACAAGCAAACAAACATTGGTGGGCGCCGACCACCACACCGTCTCCCAAAGCCCTGCCGTGCAGCTGGGAGGACCCGGGGCCCCTCTGCCCAGTGCACCTGTAGGTTACAGGGCCCCCCGAGGAGTGCCCAGTGACCACCCTGTGACGATCCTGGCCAACCCAAGTTTGTGGCTGGTCTCGGGACATGGAGACACAGAGATGCTCTTCTTGTACATGCTGGTTTGGGCCATAATAAAGGGACAAAGGACAGTAGTGACTCCAAGGGTTCCAGAGAAGCAGTGACTTCTAGAAGAACTGGAACTGGCAGGAGGCCTGGACAGGTGGCACCCAAACCCGCCCCGCCTTGCAGAGTTGGAAAGGCCTGCACCTGCGTTCCTCTCCACCATTCCCCGCTCACAGGCACAGAGTGACTGCTAAGCCTCGCCCATCCTGTGAGCTGGTGGAAGCAAGTGGCGCCGAGTCAGGGAGACGTCCTTCCGGCTCCGAATCTCCACTTCCTCATTTGTAAGGTGGGCACACTAACAGCCCTGCCACAGCCCCTTGCAGGGCTATGGGAAGGCGTGGCGATCAATGAAGCAGGGCGCTCAGGCATGGGGGTGGGTGGGGGGCGCTTTGAGCCCTATGCAGTGTCAGCCTCCCTCAGCCTGGAGGTGGAGCGTGGGGAAGGCGTGGCTACACCGTCTCCCAGGTGGGACGACCCAGGTTCCAGGCCAGGAGAGCGCTTGCTCAAATGGACGTGACACATTAGGACTTGCGTTCGGGATGGGACCTGGTCACTTCAGGGGACACTGCCCAGGTTTTGTGAGGATTGTCCAGGTGAACTGTCTCCTTCCAGCAGGGGCATCTCCTCCCAAGGGTGGGGGAGGGGCGCTCCTGGGCAGCTTTTCCCAGGGGAGGGGCTGCTCTTTCTCTGGGGCAGGGCAGTCTACAGCCCTGCGTGCCCTTACCTGCCAGGAAGCAGACACGCCACAGGCCCGAGTGCAGGGACATCCTGATCTCCGTGCTCTGGTTCTGGGGCAGGACCACGCCCTCCTCCAGGTACAGCCAGTAGTCGGTGCTGACGGCGATGCCCAGGAGGCCCAGGCCGCAGACGGCGAAGACGCTGCTCAGTAGGGTCAGGGCCTTCCTCCCGCAGGTGCTCATCTTCCCGGTCGGCCAAGTGGGCTGCCCGCGGCCGTGACGCCGCCAGCGGGGAGTGGGCTCTGGGGGCAGGACCCAGGGTGAGCAGGTGGTAGCAGGTGCAGCTCGGAGGAGGTTAGGATGAAGGGCCTTGGGGAGGGAGCTCAGCGAACTCCACCTGGCTACCCTGATGAGTCCAGGCCAACACGCCGGCTCCCTGGACACCGGGCCACTGGGCCGAGGTGCACCCTCTTTTTCTCCCTGCCAGGAATTCACAGCCTCCTTGCCAGGCTACTGCAAGGGGCCATCTTGTCCTCTGTGGGAGCTCCCCTTGCTGGATAATGTTATTCATTCATTCACCCATCCATCCATCCATCCATTCACCTGCCCAGGAAGTCACTGTGCCCAAAGTGGGAGATAAAAAGATGACACTGAACATGACACTGTCCTTGCCCTTGAAGACTCCCCCCCTAGAAGAACAAAGGCGCCCACGAAGCAATTACAATGCAGCTTCAGGGGGGCTGCGCTAGAGACCTGCCCAAGAGCTCTGCGGCAGGGAAGAGGGCTGGAGGAGTGAGCTCCGCCAGGGGGAGAAGTGGCGGCAGCCTTGGGAACAGGCAGAGGGCAGAGAAGGCTTCTTGGGAACATGTCGTCCTCATGGGCTGCGTGCGATTGGATATAGTTCTACATCAACAGAAGTAAAGAAGCCACACCCACACAGTCCAAGTTCAACGGGCCTCCTAAACTCTCCTAATTAGAAACCGCCTGACTCTTCCCTGCTCAGCACACTATGGCATGGGAAGGAGCCAGTTCCGGAGCCGCCAGAGAGAGGCTGAGTCTATTCTAGCCTCCTGCTGATACCTGCCAGGGCGGGCTCTGGGGTCGGAGCTGGGGGAACCTGAGTAGGAAGGGAGGGGAATGCCGACCCCGACGGAGCCCAGAGCCCCGCTCAGGGCTCTGACCCCTGGCTGCCATCTGGGGTCACCCAGGGTTTGCCTGGTACTCCCCACTGCCTGGGTGCCACCCCGAGAGACCCTGGTGCAGCGGGGCTCAGGGGAGGGCAACGGTGTTTTTCAGGCGCTCCCAGTGATTCTAATGTGCGGCCCACGTTGAGAAGGACTGGTCTTTGCTACTCAAAGTGTGAACCACGGACCAGTCGCATGCCCTGCAAAGATGCTTCGGCTCTCCCAACTCTGTAACTCAGAGTCTGCATGGGAATAAGACCCCCGTTGAGTTGTATACCTGCTGAAGTCTGTGAAGAACTGTGTCAAGCAAACAGGTGACAGGGAAGCGAGGGTGTGATGAGAGCCCAGAGAGGGTCACCCCCGGGGCCTTGAGGGGTCAGGCAGAGCCATCTCCAGAAGAGAATGGGGCCTGGGCAACTCAGTGTGCCTCGCCTAAACCTGTCACGCTTGCAACATTGCCAAAGCATCAACTCTGTGCAATGATGCAAAGCCAGGAATTTTGAAACAGGATGTTAACATTCAGGCAAGTGTCAGGTGTCACAGCACCTGCGCTGGGGATATATAGCCACTCAGTGGTGACCCAGGGGCCCTACCCAGGGCATGGCATCATATCCTTGTTGAAATCACCTGCAGAATCTGAGCTGGCTGTAGGAGCGGGGAAAGGAGAAGGGGAGGCAAATGGGTGCTCTTTGCAGGAAGGGGGACGTCCTGGCACTGATTCCACAGCACCGGCCCTGCCCTATCAGCTGACCATGGGGAGGGCTGACTGACCTATAGAATGAGCCCCATCTGCCTCCTGGAGTTGCGTGTGAGCCCATGGAACCTGATATACCCTGTCCGCAAGGCCAAGAGCACCGGGGTTTAATCCAGGCCACTCCTTCCTGAACCAGCTTTGATGAAGAAGGGAAAATGAAATGCAAAACAGATAGCCCTCCGCACCAAGCCAAGTCACTTTCCACGCAGTGGGGTGGGAGGCCCAGCCGGCAGGCTCTGCTCCCTACTGGGAAACAGGTGTGTCTCAGAGCACCTGCTGTGCGGGGCCCTGCGCTCACTGCTGCGGAAGAGGCGAAGGCTCAGAGGCGCGGCTTGCAGAGTTCACGAGCTGGGAAAGGCTGAAACAACAGCATCAGGGCGTGGCTCTGGGGCGGGACCCACCTGGCCAGCGGAACACGGTGGGGGGAGGCGGGCAGAGCAGGCTGCCCAGAGGGGCCCTGGGAAACCACTGCATGGATTGGTGGGTTGGAGAGTGATGGGGGAGTGATAACTAAGGTTTTTCTCGTGGTTGGCTAAGTACGTTTACTTACAGTTGAAGCTCCCAGGGCCCCAGTGTCTTCCAGAGAGAATGGAATTAGAAACCAAGGACGGTTGCTGGAGGCAAGGGAAGGGGAGGAGAACCCAAGGGTGAGGTGCCTGGATGAGAACACAGCCCCGCTTGCGGCAAAGAGCCTTGCGAGGTAGGAAGCCTGGCCTGTGTCCCAGCTCGGCACTAAATCTGTGGAAGACTGGAAAATCTACCGCTCTGGGGCCCACTTTTCTCCCGGGTAACACAGAGGAGGAGAATGATAAAAGTAAAGTCTACTGAATATTTATTATCACCATTAGGCATCCTGCTAAGCACTATATTCTCCGTTTCAATTCCCACAACTCTACCACCACCTCCCTTGTACAGGTGAGCAAACTGAGGATCAGAGAAGCTAAGAAGCTTGCCCAAGATCATGCCACCAAGATCAGGTGGCGGAGCCTACATTTGGACTTCACCCCGCCTCAGTCTCAAGCCCCTTCTCGTGCCATCCCTATGAGGGTCTTCCAAAGTGGGTTCCACAGAGCAAAACTGCCCTGGGATATCCTAGCAAAAAGGACTCTGGCGAAAAATACCTTGGAAAGCGCTGCACCTAGGTCTTGAAGAGTCTCATTGCACATTCACATGTTAAAGCCTCGAAAACCCAAGCCCACCAGCCACTGAGTCTGTCCCGAAGCCTCACTCACGCCAGGATTTTCCAAACTTATCTGCCCACACAGTGGTGTCTTGTTCTGGAAACCCACTTTGGGAACGAGGCTACCCTGCATGAAGAATCACAAGGCCTGCCCTGCTCAGCTCCCCGAACTGCTGGGAGATTAAACATCACGGCAGCTATGACAGGGTTTTGAAAAACCTGTCATGCTGTCCTGGTGTAAGGAATTAGTCTTAAGCACAATGGGCGAATAAGCCCCTGTTCTTGTAAGGCCGATGGATCAGGGCTTCTGAAACATGGCAGCTGAGGCACGGCCGGAGCTGAGCAGCCCATTTTAATAATAGGCTTGGCAGCGAGACAAAAAAAGATTTGGGTCTTGGAGGCTTGGAAAGATGCAGGTGGGGAGGAGATTGGATGTGAATCTATAAACACAAGAAATAGAAGAGGCTGAAGTCGGCCTGACCTGCGAAACTCCGCAACAGCAGAGCCTGAAGCCAGGGGTGAGCTTGGGGAGGGGGGAGGACCCCTTCCAGAGTACGTGACAAATTTACAGAACTCCGCACAGAGTGAAAAGTGACAATCCTATTCATGACACAAGAGTAGTTACACTACCATTATGAAATTGTATTTATTGACAAATGCATGGTAGCTTCAGGACCTCACAACAATCCCGTAAGTAGGTAGCATTTGCCCCATTTTGTGGATTGGGAAACTGAGGCTCTGAGACGTTAGGTATGCCTGCAGGATGTCACAGGTAGGGGACAGACTGTAGATTTAAACCTGGGTCTAATCCCAAGGTCTATGCTCTGGCTATAGCATCTTCCTACTGAAGAAACAGTTCTGGAAGCATTGGGGTGGAGAGGCACATCTAAAGTGGGTCACTAGGGAATCTAGAAACTTATGTGACACAATACTTGAAAGATGGTCTTTGAAATGACCAAGTGTTACCTAAGGGCTGCTTCCTGGCCCTGCTGGGCTCACTCGCGGCAGTCCCCGTCCACCCTCGCCCCCGCCCCACCCGCCCACGCAGTCTCGGCAGGTGCTCTCTGACTCGGTGCTTCTGATCCTGCAAACCACCCTGTAAGGTGGAAAGACTGGTGTTTCTCTCCCACCGCATGTAAGAAAATCAGGGTCCAGAGGGGAGATATACCTGCGATCACCCAGCCAGGCCCCTGGAGGGACCAAAGTGTGGGCTGGTAATTTTTTGAATGCTGATTCAATGCTTTTTTCCTCCTGTGCTGCATGGAAAATTATAAGGCAGCAGATGGAAATTACCCGTACTGCCCCATTCTGAAAACACGATTATTCTTAGTTCATTGCCTTCCTGTCTTTCTTCCGATGGAACTGCATGTGTGTGCACCCGATGTCTTCTGTCGGTGGGGCAGAAATGGGGGGCCCCTTGAAGACATGGCCTGGGATGAAGTTCTAGTTCCCACATAATCACACTTTTGTGCAAGTCTTTGCTTTTACACGATTGCTTCTCCTTCCCACGAATCCCATCTTCATCTGCAAGGCCATTGGATTTTTCTGATGGAAAAGGCAGGTAGTTTTTATAAGTTGCTACCATCAAGAGAAGATGTTTATGCTATAATGTAAAAAGAATAAAGCTGGATGTGAAACCATGTCTAACAAGAATTCAACTGTGAAAAAAATTCATAGGCTGGGAAGAAGTAAGCCAAAATGTGGATGGTGGATGTTTCTAGGTAACAAGTTTATGTATATTTGATTTTCTTTATTACTTTCCTGTGCTCAACAAAGCTTCTAAAAAACATGGATTATTTTTATATCTAAAGTACAGAACTGAAGTAAAGACTAGAGCCATTAGTTCTCTGATCGCTGGACTCGCATGCAGGGTCCCAGCTAACTCCTGGGCTAGAGCTGCTGAAATGCAGTGTTACCCTTTGGGGCTTGGGGCCCAGACGCAGAAGCACGGCAGCTTTCAGATTTCTAAGATGATTACCCGGGTGCCATTACCTCTAAGTATTAGCTTGTTAATTATCAGGAATTAACAGTTGCTAATTATCATCCCATGACTAGCAATTAGGGAGAAATGTCTTGTGGAGAATTAAATCACTAATGGCACATTTCCCTGCCCACGCCAACAACAAAAGGACTTGCAGAACTGTGCTTCGGTGCTCAGAGACAGGTGAGGGCACAGGTGTGCGT